GGTAACTATATGCACCAATTGCTTTAACAATCATTAACTGTGCATTTTGTATTTATGTATTTCATACAATTGTCAGTGTAAACAGTGATTATTTCCACAAACAGCGTTAATTAGTTGATCTTTGTAATTGTGAAGTGTTAAACCACATCAAACTGACTTGATAATACGTCACTACGTGGATAAGTTCCAATACCTACAAAAGATTCAAAATATAATTAAGAATGAAAATACCATTTAAAGTAAAATATAAAACAGTTATAAACAAAAGACAATATTTCATTTCATTTAGAAAACAGTACTTTATAAATAAAAGAACGCTGTCCGAAAAGTATTTAAAAAAATTAGTAGCCTATTTCTAAATTACGAACCGTAATTTTGTTATGCAAACCCCTCATTCGGATAAATACATTTTCATATATTTAGACAATTTAATTTATAGATAAGCTTTAAATTGTTATCAATAATAATTATTAGTGAAAAATACAATCACCCACTATTTTGTTTGTACACATTTTTATAATCATATAAGTTTAGATAAATAATTATTTCTCTAAACTTTCAGGATGACCTCAGATCACCTTCGCGTACGTTCACGATTTCTATGCCTGAAACTTCCAAGAAATATCTCGGATTATAAATGTTCTTTTCCCGCAGAATTGAAACAGGCGTTACTGTGTCACCGTCAGTCTGTGGCAGAAACATTAGGATATAAAACTATTTAATTAAAATTCTAAGCCCTGACTTTGTATCATCTTGATTACGACGTCTCATAATCCTGAGGCAATGCTCGCAGCTGTGTTGTAAATGCGACTGAAACACTGATAATTGGACCTGATGTAAATTTATTGCAGATGCAAATCTTTTACTGCAAAACTTAAGGCACTACAGACATCCGACTGTACAATCAGAAATAATGTTCCCTTGCAACTAACTCCACGGAGCAGATACCTTCCTGAGAAGCTAACAGTCGCCCAGATTTATTACCTTGTTCACAATAGCTATTCACTCGACCCCAAACCGATCCACTAGAGTCAAATTAACAACCCACGTCTTTAAAATCGACTTTAATATTATCCTTTCAACATGTTTAGGTCTTCCAATGAGGCCTTTACCTTTTACGTTTTGAGGTTTAAACTTCTTCTTTAGTTCGAATCTCAATAGACAGGAATTTGAGAGATTTTAAGGCTGGTCTGAAAGAAACTGGCAGTTAAAATTAAGGATAAAAACCTGTAGTTATAAAAAAACTCCGAATAAACTCGAGAGTGGCACTGAGAAGTCTCATCACGTATTTTAACAGATTTCTCAGGGAACGTCTTGGTGTTGGTGAACGTTCTAGCAGGGACGGAACATTCAGCTGGAAGCAGTTATGACTGAAAGTCCAATAAACTTTCGTCGCTACTGGCCGTCTGTCAGCTCTACCCCCATAGAACTCCATATATGCAAATGTGGTTTGCGTTGGCAGAACCAGTGACTAGATCCTGGCGAAAATCTGCTAAAACCCACATGTGGGCCGTGCATGTGGAAACAAACAAGCATTTGGTACCTAGCAACAGAAAAGACGACGACAATATGGAAGAGCTATGTAGTCTCACAAGCCCAACACTTGGACTGCTAGCCTCTTCGAATTTTCCACAATATATGTGTATAACTGATTGTATCTAACTGGTTGTTTATACAGTTCTTTAACGCTTCATCAACTACATATGCTCTTACTGTCTAACAACAGTACGGTTATAACAGACGACTTTAGAAAGACGCGAACGCCCGCTACTTTAATTCTCTAATTCTGACTTTTCCCATAAATGACTTAGAAAAACCATGAAAATTGCAGTCCGAATAGCAGGCATCCGAAACACAACTCCTTCCGTTGTTATGGCATCTCTTCCTTATCCCAAATAAACTGAATAAGCTTATGGATCCTCATATGTAACACTTTGCCACCTGCTTTAATTAATTCTGCTGGAATCTGATCAATACCTGGAGATTTATAACTTTTCAATGGGCAGTACAGCTTCATCTAATCTCTATAACCTCCGTTATCACTACAATTGCTCCTGAGTTTGGACACGGAAGTTCTGTCTTGCGGGTCGTTCGATCTGAAGAGGTCGAGAATGGTATTCGACGCACGAGGCATCCACACAGCTTCCTTCCTCCTCCTCGGAACCAAAACACTTCTCCCCCCCAGAACAAAGTAGACTGAGTGAAGGACCGCTCTGACAGACACCCCCCCCCCTCACGTGACTCAGTATATTTCTGCCAGATGCAAGGTTAGTGATCGAAGGTTAAAGCAACATTCGAAGGCGACAGTAAGTCAAATGGAGTCGAAGTTAAACAACGGAAAATTAGTTGTTTTGATGATGATGATGATCTCCTGCGTTTGGGCACCCTGTAGATTCGTTGGTAGATACCAACGTTGTATGCCACAGATAATACGCAGATACAGAGTTGCTAAACGAATTTCCAGATTCTAACAAAATTTCAGGTTAAAATATCCGTTTGCAACCCATTTCTCAAAATTTTTGTTTTCTAAAAATCCATTTAAAAGACCTCCTCCACTGCAATACGGAGGTATAAAGGTGTCGGAATTTAATTAACAGGTTTCAACACGAGCCATTAAGCTAACCGCACGTGCTTCCAGTGTGGTCAGGATGGAAGAAGTTGCTTTCGTTGACAAGGTAACCGAGTTGCTATACCAACACGTAATGAAGCCATGGCCACGTGTAATCTGTCATGTTCCCGTGGGTCAGTTGCGCCGCTTTGCGACAAGATGATGAATTATTGGCATCTCCATAGTTAAAGATTAGTTCCGATACCTGTGAGCCTTGGTTCAGATCCGGATATAGATGTGCTTGCGTTTATATGGTAATGAAACCGACGTATGATGATTTACGTAACCCAACTTATTGTAAAGTCAGAGACGGGGGATGAATGCAGGTAGTGACGCAAATACGTCTGGAAAAAACATTAATTCTGATATGAAATTTATAATACTGTATTAATGTTATCATTCTCTAAGGCAATTGCGATGTTATTAAGCTACCCCCAGGAGAATGACGAGTCTGCACAGGAAGTAGTTCCTAACCGAATGCGGGAAAATCTGTTGCAATAAATAATGTGTAGGCATATGAATCACGTCTCTGGATAGTAAATTCTATTTGATCGTGCGCCTTTTTGTTAGGATTCTAATGTGACCAATGCAGATATAGACTTCTCACTGCAATGGCGTTTAATACGAAGAAAAAAAAAATTCACATTCGTTTGTCAAGACCTTGAGATTCTTTACTTCATTTACATTCTTTCAATTTATCCTTGGGGGTTAAAGTGTTAAAATCGCCCTCGTTTAGAAATTCGTTCTACAGTCAACTCGTTAACAGAGAAAAGCCTTCTCCTAATTAAATACGGAATATAACACAGCAGTCATTATTTCCGACAAACACAAGAAAGCACTTCTGTTGATGGAGATTTTTTTTTTTTTTTGGAATGCTCAATAATCTTTGATAAAAGTCGCATAATTTAACAATAAATCAAGCGATAACTTTCGTATATCTTTAATGTTGCCGACAATAACAGAATAACATAATATAAAAATCTTATTAATTTTAATTAACGTTGGTTCTGTGGATCGTGAACTTATAAGATCAGCGAAGTACATCGCCTCCTTCCTATAACTTACTCTATGGCAACCGGGGGGGGAGGGAACAGATTAAAAAATTTTAATCTTCAATTAGTTCGCGTTTCAGACTTCTGAGAACTACATTTTGTTTCCATCAGGTAAATAACTTCATGCTACTATGGTATTCAAGTCTTTTATGAGAAATCTTAACATATATAGTACATTGTTCGACCACAATGGCACAAACAGCGCTGACAATCAGGAAGAACCATTGGTATGCCAGTCCGTTAACAATAGAAAACTAAAATGAAAATAACATCCAATCAGCAGCTCACATATTTGTATTCCACCCTCTTTTATCACTCAGTAAATGTTCGCTCTGATGATAGAGGCAGTAAACACCATCTGAAACGTCGGTCAATAACTACCAGAATACATGGTACAATGCACTAGAAATCATCACCTAAATCTAGGACGTTTACAGGTGAAACGTATCTCTAAAAACATGCAGTTAAGGAGAATAATATTAGCCTACATTACCCGTGATGACGTGTTGAGTAATTCAAATGTTTTCACCGATATCCGTTTAAATATATAATAGGATGTGATCACTAGGTAACTCGGATGCAACCAAAAATATCAAACAGGATTTTTACACAGTGCTACAATGTTTGCTTTAACCAAAAACAAAACATTACCCCCAAAAGACTAAAATTAGTTAAATTCTTTACGCAAAGCAAAAGGTTTTGAACCTCAGCATCGACGGATAAAACACAAATGTACAAGAAATCATCTTGTAATTAAAACAGTTCAATATCCGGGACCACACTGCGCGTTTCGCCTACGACACCAGAGTTCAAGTTGAAGGAAAACAAACGCATATACTATGTAAACCAAAAACATCACCTCATACAGCAACTAAGAGAGTGAGCTACAAACAAACTCAATTGAATAAAAATTTCCTTGGATATTATCCATCGTCTAGTAAATATAAAACGTAAAAACGTAAAACGACGTTTCGGAGATGGGACTCTATCTCCGTCTTCAGGTTCCTACACCTTCCGAAACGTCGTTTTACGTTTTTACGTTTTATATTTACTAGACGATGGATAATATCCAAGGAAATTTTTATTCAATTGACTCTTCACCATCGTCAAGAAGTTTTAGATTTGATATACAAACAAACTACCTAACCTGAGAAATAATAATTAAGGTGTGGACAAAACGTCCCTCCTTATCTATTACCCTCCCAACCCCTATGATATCCTTTTTTACCTATAACTGACGTGGAACGCACGGAGTCGCCCCGACTACTGTAAGACATCCGCTCTCACTTCGAGGCAGTCCCGTAAGACTTAATCTAAGTTTTCTTTGTTTTTTCATGAAGGGGCCTGTTCGCGTCGGTAAGTCGATGTCGATCACGTGACAATGGCCAACAATTCGCAGCCAAGTTCTCTAGCAGAGCTCGGTATGGCGAAGACTGTAGTGCAGAGATCCATCACGAGATAGCACTGCTATCACTGTGCTCGCCATCTTCACATGTTATACGACGTATTTGAAACTCCGACAGAAATTATTCTAGTCCTCGAATTGTAAGTATCATGTTATCAGAAATAGCATCATTTTTAATATTTTTTTACACTGAATTTCATTTACACTAATAAAAAAGTGAATAATTCCACCCCACACCCAATATCTATGCTAAGTTTGATACAGAAATGTAAGATAGTGTAGTTGCGTCATATTGTGATTTATTAAATTAAAATTAAATTATTTGGTTATTCCGTCAAAT